GTGATGTGTGTGCGGACGTGTTGCGAAAGTGGCGGCGTCATGGCACGAAAGTGGCGGTGGTCGATCTGCGGAAGGCGTATCTACAGCTCCATGTCCATCAGCAGCTGTGGCCCTTTCAAACTGTGGTTGTGAAGGGGCGGCGGTACTGCTTGACGCGCTTAGGTTTCGGACTTAACGTCAGTCCCCAAGTGATGAAGGCTGTGGTTCGCACTGTGTTAGAGCAGGACCCGAATGTTCAGCGAGCGGTGCTTCCCTACGTTGATGATTTGCTTGTTGATGAGGATGTCGCTAGTGCGGACAGGGTAATTGAGCACTTTGCTGAGTACGGGCTAGAATGTAAGCCGCCAGAGCGGGCAGCTGACGGGGCCCGTCTACTGGGTTTGCGGGTGCGACCGGGGGGTGACGGTGGTGACACGCTCCGCTGGTCGCGGGATAACGCGGTTGGTGACCCGCCGGCCCGTGTGACGCGGCGGGCTGTGTTCTCGTGGTGCGGGCGTCTCGTCGCCCATCTGCCGGTCTGCGGGTGGCTGCGTCCCGCGGTGGCGTGGTTGAAGCGCCGGGTGAACGAGGCGACAATCGGCTGGGATGACGTCATCGAAGACTCGACTATCTCTGAGCTGATGGACGCTATCTCGACCCGGCTGGCCACTGATGATCCTGCTCGTGGAGTGTGGTGTGTGGAGGGTGAGCGGGTCGTGGTGTGGACTGACGCTAGTTCGCTGGCCGCGGGCGTCGTCGTGGAGCTGCCGGACGGCAGCGTCATCGAAGATGCATGCTGGCTGCGCAAAAACGAGTCCGCACATATCAACATGGCAGAACTGGATGCTGCAATCCGAGGTGTGAACCTGGCTGTGGCATGGAACATGCGCGTGATCGAGCTGCGAACGGACTCGACCTCTGTGCACAGATGGGTGAGCAATGCACTGACTGGCCGTGCTCGCCTCCGTACGAGGGCGCACAGTGAAATGCTTATCAGACGCCGTGTGGACACAATCTGCCAGTTGGCTGCCGAGTTCGGCCTCAATCTGTCCGTGGTGCTGGTCCGTTCAGCGGAAAATCACGCGGACGCTCTGACGCGTGTGCCCAGGGTGTGGCTGAGCGGCGGGGCTGAGTCGGCCGGGGGCGCGGACTCCGGCATGTGCGGCGGCCCGGCGGCGGCCGGCTGGCCGGCGGACTGTGTGGGTGCAGCGGCCGTGGCTGGGCCGGCTGTCGCGGCGGACTGTGTGAGGGCGGCGGCCGCGGCTGGGCCGGCTGCCGGTGCTGAGACAGCGGACTGTGTGGGTGCGGCGGCCGTGGCTGTGCCGGCTGCCGGTGCCGCGGCGGCGGACTGTGTGGGGGCGGCGGCCGCGGCTGCGCCGGCTGCCGGTGCTGAGACAGCGGGCTGTATGGGTGCAGCGGCCGCGGCTGTGCCGGCTGCCGGTGCTGCGGTGGCGGTGGATGTCGGTGAGGGGATGGTGGCAGAGCATGGTGAGCGCGCTGTCACTGTTGACGAGGTGCACGTCAGCGCCGGTCACCCCGGCGTCCGTCGAACGTTATATTTCGCGCGGCGGTGTATCGGGCCGGCGGTCACACGAGCTCAGGCGCGGGCTGCTGTGGAGAACTGTGACGTGTGCCGTGCAATCGACCCGGCGCCAGTGAAGTGGCGACATGGGACGCTGGAGGTGCCGGAAACCTGGCGACGACTAGCCATTGATGTGACTCATTTTGGTGGTCAGTCTTATCTGACCATTGTGGACTGTGGACCTTCGCGGTACTGTTTGTGGCGACTGCTCCGCCGTGAGGACTCAGCTAGTGTTGTGCAGAAGCTGGAAGAGGTGTTTTATGAGCGGGGTGCACCTGTGGAGATTTTGTGCGATAATGATACTGCGTTCCGCGCCCGTCATTTCGCGTCTTTCGCTGCACGGTGGAATGTGACGCTGCGGTTCAGAGCTGCCCATGTACCGAGCGGCAACGGTATCGTTGAGCGCAACCACCGCACAATTAAAGTCATTGCCGCGAGAAAGCAGTGCTCAGTCGCCGAAGCAGTACATTTGTATAATGTGGCTCCGCGTGACGGTGGAGATGCTGACGATAGCCCCGCTGGCCGTGTGTATCGTTATGTGGTGCGAGACTGTGTGCAGCCGGGGAGTGGCGAGTTAGCTGCGCCGGAATGCGATTCCGAGCCGAATGCAGCGGAAGCTCCCCCACCTGGAGGGGCTGTCGGGCTGAATGTGGGGGACATTGTATGGGTGAGACGGGGCGGCACGCGGTGCACAGAGCCGTCGAGGCGGGGGACTGTCACTGGTATTGTATCCCAACAGGTAGTGACGGTAGATGGTATTCCGCGACATGTAAAAGATCTGCGACGTTGTGTGGATCAGGCGCTACGGTGCAGTGAGAGCCATGACGAGGACGCCGACTTGCCACTGTATGTTGATGTACCCGCGCCCATGACGCCGGTGGGTGTGGGTCAGTTGGAGCCGCCGGTGTCGCGGGCGGAAACTTCGGGTGTGTCAGTACCGCAGTCATCAGTTGGGCTGACTGAATTGGCAGTCCCTGTTTTAAGGCGGAGTCAGCGTGTCCGCCGCCCGCCCAAGCGGTGGTGTTGTGACCCTGATGGTCAGGGAGGGGTGTGAAATAGTTGGCGATGCACCCCAAAACAGCCGGGCCTGGGCGCGCCCGTGTCAGGATCGTGCGCTGGTGCGGTGACTGCGGCCCGGGGCGATTGGCGGCTCGGGAGGGGCGGTCAGCTTGGGTCAGTGGGCTCGGCGAGAGCGTCGTGCGCGGGTGTGCTGCTGGTTGCTCTGTGCTGCTGGTTGATCTGAGTGCATTGAGCGTCAATACAACAGAAGTTCAGTTTGCCCACTTAGAAGCATCTGTACGAAATATTTTCCAACTTACCGCCTTCCAAAGCCGGAAAGACGATCTCCGCACGTGGTCACCAACACGCCATTCAGGGCTTGCTTTACAGCAATGTAAAATATTAATGAATACCAGACAGCAAGTCTGTCAATTAAAAAATTGCCATTCTAGTGAAAATCAAATTTTTCCACAAAAACATGACAGTAGGTGGAACTATGGTCATGAGTACCCAAATATAGGAACGTTCCCATTTTTGGGAACGGAGTTCCCAAATATGGGAACGGGCGTTCCCATTTATGAGAACGGAAGGTAATTTTTCGGCCGTTCTCCCACTAAAACTCATTAGTGCATCACGTCTCAAAAAAGTGCACGCTAATTTAAGTATCTACTAAATCTCTATAAAATTATCTTTAATCTGACCGTTGAACAAGGAAATTGACCGTCGAATGATATTTTTAATGATTTTTTTGAAATGACGGAATGGTGAAAACATGGGTTATACTACATTTAACATGTAATTTAAAGGAAAATGAAGCGTTTTTTACATTTTGAGGTCAAGTATAATAATTTTCGCCTGGTTATGAAGTTTCATACTAGCGACACCAGATGCTGACATATGCAAGCGAACACGCGGACAGTCCTGAGGTAATATTGTTGACTTTTGGTCTCGGGGCGCACGACCGCGTGGAACGTCAGTGATTTTACCGAACTACTGTTGTAAACTCAGTTTCAGTGGTTTAAAATTATTCAGCTGTATTTTATCAGCCCGGAAAGACATATTTTATTTGGATGCTAGCTGTTTAGCATTGTTTTATAAGGAGCGTCATGAGCGTGGTTTTTGTCTTCCGTGTTTCTAAGCATGATCGTTTTGGGGGAATTTCTCTTATATAGGTCGCTCTGTGTGGCTTATTTATAATTTTTATGCTGATTTCGATCATTCCTCGTGCCCATCCTACCAGGCCTTTTGCCACTTACACTCATTAAGAAAGGAAAAAACTAGATTTTCCATGGGACTAGGTGTTTTGAGGGTGTAACATATTCAGCGTTCCCATTTTTGGATACTTCCTTGTGCTCGTCAACTATCGGTGATAAACAGACAGGTGCTTGACATGTCTCCACCCTCGGCGCGGACGGTGGATATAGGTATGGAAGACCTTGTTGAACATCGCTGAGCGTTGTGAATTACGTAATCCTGCAGAGGGGGGCGTGCCCGCTGCGAGATCGACGGGAATAAAAGCGCAGAAGACCGGGCGAAACATGCGACGGTCTTGCCGGAAAGGTCATCTGATGATTGTTGCTTAACAATAATTTGCGGCGTTGGACATGATGCTTGTTAATGAAAAGAGCCCCTGAAAGGCGTCGGTGAAATCGTTCCCAATTTTGGGTACGCCGTTCCCATAATAAGGAACGCTTGCAGCGCCAGTGTACGAGAGCGTTCCCAAATTTGGGTTCGCGGCCCGGATGATGGACTGCTTTAGAAATAGGGGAACGATTTAAAACTACGATGGGCCTTACAATATCAAACTCTTTCCCAACAATATTGAGACAAATATCAGGCGGTTCACGACCGTTTTATATTTTTTGGACGTCATTTAACGGTTCTTTTTCTTGTTTTAAATAATTCCTACATGGCGTTCCCATATTTGGATTTATCGTTCCCAAACATGGGAACGAAAATGCGTTCCCGAAAATGGGTACGCTTGACCATAGTTCCGCCTACTGATGAGGTATATTTCATTAATGACACATAAAAGTTCACCTATCATGAAAAAATCTATTGTTTACAAAAGGAAGTGGACCGTGCAAGCCTGTTCAACAGCCGATTTTTCTGTTCAACGTTGGAATTATGAAGCGAAATGCGGTCTTTTGATTGGTGGCCTTTGTTTGATGCGGAAATCTATGATTTGTTGCGGAAACTACCGAACAGGTTTATGTGCTCCTTGCGTTTCCGAAAATAGAAACGGAGCGTTTCCATTATTGGAACAGTTGGTTTTTAGCGTTTCCATTTTTGGAACTTTCTTCCAAAAATAGAAACGTTTCTATAAATGGACTGCCGATACCATAGTGCGCCCGACTGATTCACATATCCTGGTTGTAAGCAGCAATACAATAATTTGCCTTGAATTTGTCAAGACGAAGATTTTGATTTTGATACCTACCTCTGGAAATCTGCACAAGGCCTTACAAAAGCATAGCAGTTGGGGAAACTACGAGGAGCCAAACAAAAATTGGATTAGCCAATCAGCGGCTGGAGTGGGCGGGGCGATGACCATATATGGTCATAAAATCAGACAACTTCATCTTTTCAACGAATTCTAGCATTCAAATGAAAAAATAAGGCATAAGAATGTTTTTTAACCACACAAGGCCTACACTCACCCGGAACATTATTAACTGGCGGCTCTAAATCGCAGAGTTACAACGCAAGGTCAAACCGTGATTGGCAAATATGGCGGATTGAAACAGACGCGCCAAGCCAAAAAATGTAAGCAGTACCGTGGTTTAAAAATGTCATTATTTTTATTATTTTGTTTATGGTTTTTATAATTGTAGTTAAGTTATTATTTCAGAATTAAATATTTTTGTTTATTGTAATTAAATTAAATCTTTTAACAATTTTCTTTCATAAAACCAATCCATTTATTGAATGGCTAGCTGATTGTGACGCCCAGAACCTGCAGAAAAGCCGTTTTCCTATCGCCATTTTCGAGTCGATTCGCCGAATTTAATCAAATCACACTAATTCCTAGTGAAAAATGGAAGCCTTTTCTCTCCAATAAGTGGACGCGATACCGCAAATACCGGCTTGTTATACCGTTTTTCACCCTTAGTAGCGGGGGCCGCATTTATGCCCATATATGGTCATCAAAAGTCCATTTATTGACCAATCCATTTTTTGACATTTGCCTCGTAGTTTCCCCAACTGATAGGGCCTTGATAAAAAGAGAGGGTCAAAAACTGAAACCTGAAAAAACAGAATAAGATTATTCAAATATTTAAACATCCCAACTCAGTGGTGTTTTCAAGTTCAAGACCACCAGTGCTGCCAGGGTATATTGATATAGAACAACAGTGCTGCTACCAAGGCCCTATATACCAGGTAGGGTCGTCCGGCGATTCTACCTGATCGTGACGTCAGCTCGTGACGTCATCTGGGGGCAAGTCTTAAAGTCCCGTTTAAGTCCTATGCAAATGGGCGATTTTTAAAGCTCTGTAGAGCAAACTCTGCTAAAGCTAGCACAAAACTAAGTGCATCATCGGAAAGCCGAGACATTTTTCTTCGAATTATCTAGGAAGCGTTTTTCACTAAACCCATTAGTTTTTCCGAAAATGCGTAAAAAAGCCCCCATGCCTCGGCAGCCTCCCTTCCGCCGGCCGCCGCGCCGCCGCGGTAGTGTAGTGGTTAGGATGCTTGCGCCGTAATCCAAAGATCGTGCGTTCGAATCTAGGCGCGGGTCGTACTTAAATCGAAATTGCAAGCAGAATATGTGTTTTTTCTTGATAAATCACTTATATTACAGCTAACCGTTCATAAAACTATCGATAACAATTGACTGAAACCCAAAATGTAGATTACATTCTAATAAAACAAATTCAAATATGGCGGCCGTTGCGCCAGGCTCCACCCCCGACTCCGCCCCTTCGTGTGACGTCATCTGTGCACCTGGACACACAGGGAGATAGGGGACGACATGGGCCTGGCTGCTACCACTGAAAAACAAATAAAATAAAAATATGTGCGCCACCTCTGCCGCCACGTGCATTCAAACTGATATCATATATGAATATCTTTCATTTGTTACTAGATTCTGTTTGTAAGCAGGCCAATACTGTTTATGTCTTTATCGTTTCTATAGCAACTAGAAATCAAAGACATTTAATGTTGCTCATTTTTGGGTTATGCTTCTGAATAATGTACAACAATAAGAATAAAATGCCTTTAGATTCATTTACGAGCTTTTCCAGATGTGAATTTTGCATGAATTGAGCAAAATATACATTATTTGTTTCACATTTGTTCTCAGCATTCCTTAAAATTTAAACAGAACCATGGTGAATAAATTTTGTAACACACGCGTCATACATGTAAAGAATATACCCGAATTCTAAAATGCTGCCACTAATTATGAATCGAGGAGCTTGACACACGCTGCTGAAAAAAAAGCTGAGTGATGCCGAAAGTGATGAGTGAAATGCACCTGTTTGTAATCGTAACTGTAACAACTAACAGGATGGCTTCTATTTCGTTTGCTAGATAATGTGTACTGGCTCCTAGCTATAACTTGTTGCAAGCTGCAAAGTAGATTGCAGTAGGCATTTGAGCAAAAAGCTGAGGCCAGGCCACAATGTGCAAAATTGATTCCCGGACGCAGGGAAGGGACTCCACCACGGAAGGGGGTTATGCGGGGATCCGAACCTTCAAAATCACATCTGTAATCAATGCAGCCTAATGCATAAGGGCGTGAATGTTTTGAGTGGGCCCTGCCCCCCCCCCCCCCTTCCCGTCCTGAGACCGTGGCGGAGTCCGGCTGACCGGAAGGGTCCTGAATGTTTGGTGACGATATCTGCAATACTTTAGGAGATATCGACAGAAAAGGAGAGGGGGACAAGACGGCGTCTCGCCCCCTGGACCCTACGAGCCGCGAGTAAGCTTCCAGAAGCTGGTCTTACGAGGCTATAAGTAGATAACGATTTTTTTGGCTGAAGGGTGAGCGAGGCGACGTGGAGCTCAGAAATGGCCAGATCTATAACAGAGCGGGCGCCGGAGATCCAGCTCCCCTCCCCCTCCCCATCCCCTTCCTATCCGGAACCCGGCGTCGCTCCGACGGTCTCGGCGGCGGTTTTCATCTCATCTTCCGGTTGGAGTCCCCTCAGATATCTGCTCGATCGCCGGGGGAGCCAGGCGCCAGCTGAAGACAGACAGTCGGGCTGAGCCAGCACTCAGGAGAGGAGTCTGGGGGTCAGCTCAGGCGTCAGCTGCCAATAGACAGAGACAGACAGGCGTCCGCACTACAGAATTCACAGTGGCGCCCAAATACGATCGATTTTGTTCCGATGTAGGACTCATACCATTGTGACTGCGATAGCAGGGCGAGCAAGTGGCAGCAAGCACGGCTCTACAGCTCTAGTCCAAACGGGTGCATGACAGCGTCCGAAACACAGCTGTGATGTGACATGTGATGACTACAGCGTTCAGAGCGACAGAAGCTAAAAGCACCCTGACGACCCGTAGTCTATAAAAGGGTAAGTCAGTTTTTCCAGCACCCACCGGTCATAAACGGTGCAACAAATTTGGATGCAATTTGCTCAGCCGTTTTTGAGAGGTTGAAGCGGCTCCATATCGGTAGGTCCTAAACGTGCGCTCGTAAAACGTGCGCACGTGAAACTATCAGATCTTATAAGTCGAGGTGATAAAGTTTCACGTTTAGTTCACGGCTTCACCGTCTATAGACGCAGTCACTAGTCAGCATAGTTCATCGAGGGCCAAATGTCGTAAATGGTGCGACAAGCATCGTGAATCGTGATTCTCGCTCCGGGATGTGTTATCTAAATGAACCAGGCAGGCATTCTGTGAAGTGCCAAAGAGGCCTCAGGTGCAATGCTTGCAACGTGCAACGATTCGCTATTCAAAGCAATCCATTAAACGTTGCTCTGGGTGTGTTTGCAAAACGTACATATCCAGTACCCACGAATAGGAAAGTCAATTTTGCTTATATGAAACATAGGTACCTACAAATTCACGTACCTATGTTTAGGTATTTAGTTTTACTTAAAATTTTCACTTAAAAGAATATCACGTAGATTATGTACGTACCTACGGTTGTCTAGGGATACACTTCCTTATCACTGTTTTTTGTTCGTGTGAAATACCATACATTATCCGGGCTGCGGGCAGATCCCCCAGCGTCGACAGCAGCACGGGCCACGGGGTGCGGCCTTGGCTGCTCCCCAGTCGATTTCTTGCGAGCAACCTTCTGAATACCAACCGTCCCCGAGCGGCGGATTTGGATGTGCTGTCCCGGCTGTGTGCTCGCTAAAACCACTGTCGACAGTTGTGTTTGGCGTGTCATATTTATCCATGTTGTCGAAAAGAAATGGCGTGATCTTTATTAAAATATGTAATGAGTAAAAGCTCAAGCATATAGCTTCAAATCGTTTTTTATTTGTCCAAGCTTTCCAAGAACCTTACGTGTTGCGCTTGAGATAATTCATGATCTGCATTTTGTCTGCGTTTCATGATTGATTTATTTTTTAGGAGTTGACGACTGAAAGCTGCAACCTGAATCCCCGAGTGCCTTCGTTTCGTTTTATTTTTGACGGGCATATTTCAACCACGACACTACTCATGCTCACCGAAAATATTTAACCCTCGCCCGCACATGCCATTTTCCCATCCTAGAACGCACATGGGGGGGGGGGTGGTTGCCACCCCCCCCCCCGCGCCATTTCGTTCCTGTTGGAGATAGAGCTTAGCAGTAAGGACCAAACAGATTCTTTGGGAAGAGACGAATCCAATGATACCCAGTTTTACCTTCTCAGGTCAGTCATTTGTAAGCCGAAGCGGTTGGGAGTGCAAAATCGTCTCTCTCTTGATTCCGGCTTCCAGTATATTATAACGCAAACGCTCACGCCAGAATGCCATGAGCATCGAGTACCGACATCAACATGTCTAACGCTCTCCGCGTCCTGAAACGTATTACAATGCCATTAACAAAAATCCCGTAATAGGAGCGCGAACCAAATTGACTAAAGCACACAAACTCATTACAGAAGTGAACATAACAAATATCCGCAAATCAGTCAAAATGATAAACTCACCGTTCAGCAGACGCACAGCACAAACAAGCACAACGCCTTTCGCTGGCGCTCCGATCAGTTTGACCCGTCTGACGGCGCCGGCTGATCGGCCGAGCGCCGGCCGGCCCTCAGGCTACGTGGCCGCGCTCTCATTGGCTGACCACTAGAGCCGCAGAATACCGACGGTAACAAACACAGTACCTACACTCTTCCCCCTTAACTGAAAAAAAACAACAGAACAAAAGCACAGAACAAAACGGGCAAAAACTAAGCATAACATCAATCAAGTTGAGCATTACAAACAGGTCACAATTCACACATCCAGGTGGTCGACGTAGAAAGAGACGCGTTTCCATGTGGTGGAAACATGGCAACATCGGAGTCTGCGCGCTAGACACCTCAGTCGTCTGTCACAATCCATTTCAGCCTTCACCAGCCCGGGTCAAGAACTTTATCTGACCGTGTCCGTGCACAACGATTTACATATTACAAAACATCACACTCTACAGATCGGCATGAAATCTAACACAGTAAATATCACCTATCGTCGTACCCTAACCGGTCAGGCGGAACACCTTTGGTTCGCCTGTCCGATCGTCTCGGAACGGCACGGCCTGCCCATCGCTCTCCTGAGCGACGGAACTCTCGCCGTCATCAGTCCCCAGACCAGGCTCCTGTTGCACTCTCTGACCAGGGGACTCACTCGGTGAACTGAACGGCACAACGGGCGTGAAACTCAACGCGAACGGATTGAGTAATGAAATGACTGGAGCTCGAGACTCGGGGATTACACTGGTAGGATCAGCTGGCTCATCAAAACGGCCATTCCACTGAGGTCCACCCGCCACCCCCTTTGAGTTACAACTCCCACATTCCATCCCTCGGGGAGACACACTCGCCTGAGTCCCAGATGAGAGATCAGCCGCAGAGCCCTGGCTAATCCGGGGCTTTAGTCTATTGTGGTGCACGAGGAGAGTAGACTTGGCACCCTCTAATCTAACACGGTAGTTCAGTTCTCCCACCTTATCCACTACAACTGCATGCTTCCAAGGCCTGAGAAACTTATAGTAAGCTCCCTTAGGAACCACACCTTTATGAAGATACACTGCATCGCCAGGGGAAAAATTAAAATCGTTGATTTTTTTCTCGTACAATGCTTTGTTTTTCTGGTGACTT